CTAGGCCACTAGTATATTCCTAATAGCCAAAAAGAAGAAATAACCCAAATGTCCATCAACTGATGAGTAGCTAAATAAAATACAATATATCCATACAATGGACTATCATTTGGCAATTAAAAGGAATGAATTACTGATACATGTTACAACATTATGTGAAAATATTATACAAGAGGGTAGGCGTAAGGGGGAGAGATCAACCAAAGGACTTGTATGCGTGCATATAAGCATAACCAATGGACGCAGACACCAGGGGGGTGAAGGCATGAACGTGAGTGGGGGGGGGGGGGAATGGGGGGTAAGGACACATATGTAATATCTTAATCAATAAAGAAAAAATAAAATTAAAAAAAGAAAGAAAAAGAAAATATGCAAACTGAAAAAGCCAGTCACAAAAGGCCACATATGCTATGCTTCCATTTATTTGAAATGTCCAGAGTAGGCAAATCTACAGAGACAGAAAGTACATTAGTGGTTGCCTAGGACTATGAGGTGAAAGGGCAGGAAGAGGGTTGGAAAGAAATTGGGAGCAGCTGCTACTGGAATACAAGGCTTTTTTTGAAGGGGGAGCTGGGGAGGGGATAAAAATGTACAAATGACTATAGTGAGCAAACCACTCAATTGTACATTTTAAATGAGTAAACTGTGTGGTATGTGGATTATACCTCAACGAAGCTGTTAAAAAAAACTTCAAAAATAAAATCAGAGCAACTGCAGGGAAAGTCTTTAACCCACACCATTGAGGGCAGAAGGGTTGAAAAAGTATGACAATTATCACTTTTCCCCAAGAGTTTCAGGAGTCCATTTTTCATGGCAGCATGAACCAGAGAATCTGGACAAATGATTATCTATCTTGATATAGATAATTAGGTGATCTATTACATAATTATTGAAATGATTATAATTAGATCTATAAACTGCCAACTACTGGAAGGAAATAGGTTTTCCAAAGCATTAATGACACTGAATAGTGGATAAAAAATATTTTATAAGTATTCATTTTTATTAAATAACATTGCATAAAAATGTCAACTTTTTTTTACATATATTCTCAACAGAGATGATCTCACCCTTAAGGGGGCAAAAATTGATTCTTGGGGTTCAAAACATCTTCCTCTTTTTACATATAAAGCACAGATATATATATATTATAATAATGTATATAACACATATTTATTATTATATATTATACTAGAGGCCCGGTGCACAAAAATTTGTGCACTCGGGGGGAGGGGGGGTCCCTCAGCCTGGCCTGTGCTCTCTCGCAGACTGGGACCCCTCAGGGGATGACCACCTGCTGGCTTAGGCCCGCTCCCCGGGGGATTGGGCCTAAGATGACAATCAGACATCCCTCTGGCAGCCCGGCAACCCTCGGGGGAGGGGGCCTT